TTTGTCGAATTTCTATGTCGCCGACGACATCGCGCGCGCCCTAGCGCACGAGTCTCCTGATCGTCGCGGAGACGTGTAGTAGATGCAGAACGTCCGTAAGCCTTATGATGACGAGTGGCACAACGTGTGGAAGGTAATAATAATTAGAGACCGTTTTTCATACCACATTTCCGCCACTTCATGGGAGGCTAACCCCCCTCGTTAGGAAGAGTAATGTCCGACTTGATCATAGTAGAAGTGAATCTTCGTGCCCCGGTGGTATGATACGGATTAGGTCCGATAACAGCCTAGACTAATAAAAGCTTCATTTTATCTTATCCCTCCTGGAGTAGTATTTTCTCGATATCGATCAAATAGGCCATTTTCGGACCTATTTTGAATCTTAAATCGATAAGATACGCCATCGTGATTCAGGTTTCCACCCTAGGTCTCCGAGACGACAGCAAGGCACAGCACATGCTAAACACTGCGGCTCAGTTGGTTATACCTATTATGAAAAAACGTCGATGGTAAGGCTCGTCAGTGTTGGAGGAATATATCGTTTGAAAATGAACGAATTCGGGTAGAAGTGTACGAAAACCAATAATTATTTTTATTTACTTTTTATATTTGTTTTTTGTATTCAATTTTTACTACCCAATTTTTATATTATCACCAACACATGCAGTTGACCATGTGCATATTTTCAAACACTAGTTGGAATATATGTTCGCTTTCCTCAGCTGAGCTCAGAAGTTTCTCCACTAGTTATACAAGAATCGGGTAGAAGTGCACAAAAACCAACGAAAAAATTTTCTCCCGGAATTTTCATATTGTCGCCGACACTTAACAGTGATTATATGCAAATTTTCCACGATGGAGTTTCACCCGTTTTACGTGAAGTGGTGGTATGCAGTAGTCGTGAAATATATTTTTCACTAGTGTTTTTCATATCACTAGGGAATATATCATTTTATGATTTCTTCTCAGGAGAGTTGCCCACATGATGGAATTCGTTCCTAAGAATAACAGACTTCTCGGCCTCAACGTTAACCGAGGCTTAGCAGTGAAGATACGCCTTCGTCGCAACAGGGATCCAGGACACTTTCTGTCGTATATGGATATCCTTGGTAATTTATTTGTAGTCGTAAAAGTTGCATAAATCGGTTGACTGTCGTATATGGACGTCCTCAGTAATTTAATTGTAGTCGTGAAAGTTGCATAAACCAGTTTACATGGAATTACTTGGTAATCTAATTGTAGTCGTGAAAGTTACATAAATCAGTATATATGGAAGTCCTTGGTAATCTAATTGTAGTTATAAAAGTTGCATAAATTAGTTTATATGGAACTCCTCACTAATTTAATTGTAGTCATAAAAGTTGCATAAATCGATTTTCAGGTACTATTCTACATGAGCTCGTCCACAACTCGTACGGTCCTCATAACGCCACTTTTTATAAATGTCTTGACGATATCAAAGCGGAATGTGAGCTACTCATTTTGGGTCATCCCTTGTCGTTGGAGCTCTTCCGTGGGAGGACCCAGGGATATGAATCGGGTAAGTTTTGGTATTATTGTCGTCAGTGTGGGAAAATATACACTACATGTGTTGGTGAGAATATGTGTAAGTTTTGGTATTTTTTTGTTTTTCTACCCGAACTCGTATGTAACGTAGTAAACTTCTGAGCTCAGCTGAGGAAAGCGAACATATAATCCTACTCCAACACTGTATAGGAAACTCCTGAGCTCAGCTGCGGAAAGTGAACATATATATTTCAGTTTTGTTGTTATTGGTTATTCTCATCGAAATTTATATGTGTTCATTGGAATATTATTATTATTAGAGTTTCACCCTAGTGATATGAAAATCACTAGTGAAAAAAAACCTATTTCACGGCTACTACATACCATGAATTTCGCGTTTTACGCCACTTTACGTAAGGAAGGGTGAAACTCCAATATTGCAGATGCTACTTCATCTAACACTGACAAGCTGGTCGAGTTCAGCGCGGGAGTTGGCCGGAAGCGAACGACTAAGGGAAAAACGGCTCGAGTGAAGCGAGGCCGGGGGAGAAGGTTGGGCGGCGATAGGCAGGCCTATGCTGAGCTCTCACAAAGGGAGCTTGCGAGGTGAGAAGATATTTACTACATTTACTTCGTTAGTGGTAATGTGAGAATTTTAATTTTAATATTTAATCTCGGAAAAAATAACACCCACTGGAGTTTCACCCGTTTTACGTGAAGTGGCGTGATACTCGCGATATTCGCGGTGATATGCAGTAGTCGTGAAACATGTTTTTCATATCACTAGGGTCAAGAAACTACATTGAAAATATTTTCAGAATGGCGGCGGAGCGACGCATGCGAGACGCCGAATTATGTGATACTCACGATGATGGTCCTGACGGTAGTGATAGTGGTAGAAGCGTTAAAAGGAAGAGAGGTATCTTAGGTTGCTCATTGGAAGATACGGATTAGGCCCGATATGATACTCAGGTTCGGAGAGTAACACTACGTCTAGTTCTAGCGCTCCGTCGTCAGAGAGGAAAATAATAGAACTTTCTGATAGTAGTGATGAGGACGATTTGAGATGCCCATGGTGTAAAACGGTGGGGGAAAACGGAAAAAATATCCCGCATTTAAACGTTCGCGATACTAGCAGTTGTTATCAGAGTCGTGACGTTCGAGTGAAAAAACTGCACAATTACGGACAAATGAGAAATTATGGATTTTTTCCTCGAAATTTGTTTTTTTTCGCATTTTTGTTGAGTTTTTTCCGCTGCTATTGCATTTATATGGCAGTTGCGACCACTGAGCGAAAGCGTGGGGGGAAAATATGTACATGTGTTGGTGACAATATGAAAATTATGGGATAAAATTTCGGGAAATTATCATTTATATGGAATATTACTCGAGTGTTCGCATATATAAATATACGATTTTTTTTTCATAAAATCCTTTTTTTTCAGTTTTTTTTTGAGAAATTTTTCGAATTTTTCAGGTAGCTTTCCATTGCCATCAGAGTCGTGGAAAGTGTGTCCAGCATGTGAGGGGCCTAACCCAGATCGAATGGGCCCGGGATGATGATGATG